GGGTGCCGGAGCTGTGCCAGCGCTGTGCCAGGATCTGTGCCAGGATCTGTGCCAGGGCTGTGCCAGAGCTGTGCCAGGGCTGTGCCAGGATCTGTGCCAGGATCTTTGCCAGGATCTGTGCCAGGGCTGTGCCAGAGCTGTGCCAGGATCTGTGCCAGAGCTGTTCCGGTTCTGTTCCGGTTCTGTCCCAGTGCCGGTTCTGTTCCGGTTCTGTGCCGGTTCTGTTCCGGTTCTGTCCTGGTTCTGTTCCGGTTCTGTGCCTGTTCTGTGCCTGTTCTGTTCCGGTTCTGTTCCGGTTCTGTCCCGGTTCTGTCCCGGTTCTGTCCCGGTTCTGTCCCGGTTCTGTCCCGGTTCTGTCCCGGTTCTGTCCCGGTTCTGTCCCGGTTCTGTCCCGGTTCTGTCCCGGTTCTGTCCCGGTTCTGTCCCGGTTCTGTCCCGGTTCTGTCCCGGTTCTGTCCCGGTTCTGTCCCGGTTCTGTCCCGGTTCTGTCCCGGTTCTGTCCCGGTTCTGTCCCGGTTCTGTCCCGGTTCTGTCCCGGTTCTGTCCCGGTTCTGTCCCGGTTCTGTCCCGGTTCTGTCCCGGTTCTGTCCCGGTTCTGTCCCGGTTCTGTCCCGGTTCTGTCCCGGTTCTGTCCCGGTTCTGTCCCGGTTCTGTCCCGGTTCTGTCCCGGTTCTGTCCCGGTTCTGTCCCGGTTCTGTCCCGGTTCTGTCCCGGTTCTGTCCCGGTTCTGTCCCGGTTCTGTCCCGGTTCTGTCCCGGTTCTGTCCCGGTTCTGTCCCGGTTCTGTCCCGGTTCTGTCCCGGTTCTGTCCCGGTTCTGTCCCGGTTCTGTCCCGGTTCTGTCCCGGTTCTGTCCCGGTTCTGTCCCGGTTCTGTCCCGGTTCTGTCCCGGTTCTGTCCCGGTTCTGTCCCGGTTCTGTCCCGGTTCTGTCCCGGTTCTGTCCCGGTTCTGTCCCGGTTCTGTCCCGGTTCTGTCCCGGTTCTGTCCCGGTTCTGTCCCGGTTCTGTCCCGGTTCTGTCCCGGTTCTGTCCCGGTTCTGTCCCGGTTCTGTCCCGGTTCTGTCCCGGTTCTGTCCCGGTTCTGTCCCGGTTCTGTCCCGGTTCTGTCCCGGTTCTGTCCCGGTTCTGTCCCGGTTCTGTCCCGGTTCTGTCCCGGTTCTGTCCCGGTTCTGTCCCGGTTCTGTCCCGGTTCTGTCCCGGTTCTGTCCCGGTTCTGTCCCGGTTCTGTCCCGGTTCTGTCCCGGTTCTGTCCCGGTTCTGTCCCGGTTCTGTCCCGGTTCTGTCCCGGTTCTGTCCCGGTTCTGTCCCGGTTCTGTCCCGGTTCTGTCCCGGTTCTGTCCCGGTTCTGTCCCGGTTCTGTCCCGGTTCTGTCCCGGTTCTGTCCCGGTTCTGTCCCGGTTCTGTCCCGGTTCTGTCCCGGTTCTGTCCCGGTTCTGTCCCGGTTCTGTCCCGGTTCTGTCCCGGTTCTGTCCCGGTTCTGTCCCGGTTCTGTCCCGGTTCTGTCCCGGTTCTGTCCCGGTTCTGTCCCGGTTCTGTCCCGGTTCTGTCCCGGTTCTGTCCCGGTTCTGTCCCGGTTCTGTCCCGGTTCTGTCCCGGTTCTGTCCCGGTTCTGTCCCGGTTCTGTCCCGGTTCTGTGCCGGGTCTGTTCCGGTTCTGTCCCGGTTCTGTTCCGGTGCCGGGGCCGAGCAGCCGCGGGATTTCCCTGCGGGATCGCGGGCGGAGCTCCCCCTGACAGTTAACCCTCTCCGTACTGGCTGTACTGGGAGCACTGGTGACAGTTAACCCTCTCCGTACTGGCTGTACTGGGAGCACTGGTGACAGTTAACCCTCTCCATACTGGCTGTACTGGGAGCACTGGTGACAGTTAACCCTCTCCGTACTGGCTGTACTGGGAGCACTGGTGACAGTTAACCCTCTCCGTACTGGCTGTACTGGGAGCACTGGTGACAGTTAACCCTCTCCATACTGGCTGTACTGGTCGGGGTTAACCCTTTCCTCCCTGGCGGGGAGCTCCGGCTGCGGGGGGTGGGGCGCAGGGATGCGGTGCCCCCGCTGCCCGCCCCCCGCCCCGCCCCTGCCGGGAAGCCGGAGCCGGTGCCGGTGCCGGTGCCGGTGCGGGCGGAGCCCCCGGGGCCATTTTCCCCCGGAGCCCCCGCGGTACCGGTGCCGGTGCTCCCCCCCCGCCGGTGCCGCATCCCCTCCGGAGCCCTCCCGGGGCCGTTTCCCCCCCCCCCCCCCCCGGTCATGCCCCCCCGTCGCTTCTTGGCGGACATCGTGGCGCTCGGTGAGTCCCCCGCGCGTGGGACCCCCGTCCCCCCCTGCCCCGTGGAGCCGGGAGCGGCGGGGGGGGCTCGGAGGATGCTGCGGGGCTGGGGGGGCTGCAGGAACCGGGGGGGCTGCGGGGCTGGGGGGGCTGCAGGAGCCGCGGGGTGCAGGAACCGCGGGGCTGCAGGAACCGGGGGGCTCCAGGAACCGGGGGGCTGCAGGAACCGCGGGGCTCCAGGAACCGGGGGGCTCCAGGAACCGGGGGGCTGCAGGAACCGGGGGGCTGCAGGAGCCGGGGGGGCTCGGAGGATGCCGCGGGGCTGGGGGGGGCTGCAGGAACCGGGGGGCTGCAGGAGCCGGGGGGGCTGGGGGCTTCGGGAGCCCTCCCCTGGGGGTGCGAGGGGTGTTTGGGGGCTGAGACCCGAGTCTGGGGGTCTGGGGGTCCCCATGGGTGCCCCTGAGCTGGGGGGAGGCGGCGCGTCAGGCCTGGGCTGGAGGGGCTGCTGGGGAGGGGGACGTGGGCGATGGAGCCGTGACTCAGGCTTGGCACGGCGCTCTCCCCACGCCCCCCACCCGCTCCCCTTCCCTTGCCCCCCACGCCCGCCCCCCGCCTCTTCCCCGCGCCCACCCCCCGCCCGCCGCCCCTCTGCCGGGGCTGCCGGTGGCTCCGCGGTGCCGCTGGTGTCGGCGGCGCCGGGGTCCCGGCGTGCCGGGCGCTGCGGTGTCGGTGGTGCCGGTGGGTCCGGGAGCCCGCCCGGTGATGCCGGGCCCGGTGGCTTTAGCGGGTTCGGAGCTTCTGCAAATGGCGCCGCGGCCGCGGCAAACGCCCGGTGCTGCCGGCTCCTGCGGGAGCCAGCCCGAGCCGCGGGCAGCGCTGCGGTGGAGCCGGGGCGGAGGCGGCACCGCGGGGGTCGCGGAGGTGTCGGGATGGCGGGGGCAGGATCACGGAGATGCCGGGAGAGCGGAGGCAGCGGCATGGCGGAGGTGCCGGGATGGCGGGGGCGGGATGGCGGAGGTGCCGGGATGATGGGAGAGAGCAGGATCACGGAGGTACCGGGATGGCGGAGGTGCCGGGATGATGGAGGCGGGATGGCGGAGGTGTTGGGATGGAGAGCGCAGGATCACGGAGGTACCGGGATCGCAGAGTCACCCCCGCCGCTACCGGCGCCATCCGTCCCGCTCCCCCGGGAGCGCTCCCGGAGCCGAGATGCTGCATCCCCGGCAGCCGCTCCCAGGCCCGGAGCCTCCCGAGCGCTCTCGTCCCCCAGGGCTTCGCTCTGGCTGCTCCGCCCGGCTGCGGCGGCACCGGCGGGCGCTCCCACCGACGAGTTCCCGGTGCCGGGCCGGCCATGGCCGCGGGGGCCCCGTGGGGTTCGCGTCCCTGGCGACACCGCCCTGCACGGCTCGGCACGGACCCCGCTTCCCCGGGGCTGTCCCGAGGGGTTCCGGCACCTCGGGCCCCCCGTGGTTCTGCCGTGCGCTGCTGGTGCTGCGGTTCCGGTGCCCGGTGTCCCCGGCACCGTCTCTCTGCCGCAGGAGCCGGGGTCGGCGGTGCCGGGGGTCCCTGAAGCGAGAGGGAAGGAGGTGGCGATACCGGGGGTCCCTGGTGCTCCGGTACCGGGGGTCCATGAAGCGAGAGGGAGGGCAGTGACGATACCGGGGGTCCCTGGTGCTCCGGTACCGGGGGTCCCTGAAGCGAGAGGAAGGGCAGTGACGATACCACGTCCCTAGCGGGGGTCCCTAGCGTTGGAAGGCGATGGTCCCGGTACCGGGGGTCCCTGACGCCGCCCCTCTGTCGCAGGAGCCGGGGTCTGCGGGCAGTCGGGGGCCGGCGGCGATGGCGGAGGAGAGCTCGAGCGGCAGCAGCGGCTCGCCCGGCGCCGGGGACACGCTGCCCTGGAACCTGGGCAAACACCAGCGCTCCCAGCGAGCCAAGGCGGCCGCGGGCAACGGGACGGTGCTGGACCCCGCCGAGAGAGCCGTCATCCGCATCGCAGGTACGGCCCGGGGGGCGAGAACGCGTCCGGGGGTGGGGACGTGACAGGGGAGCCGGGACCGGGGGGCTCGGCGTGAGCCGCTCTCCGGGGAGGGGGTCGGGATGTGTCCGGGGGTCGGGAACGCGACCCCAGGGGACTCCGCGTGCTCCGGGAGATGGAGGGGTCGGCGGTGTCTGGAGGCCCGTGGGGCGATGCCGTGGGTGTCCCACGTGAGCCGAGGGACCGAGGGGTGACATCGCGCTGGGGGCTGTGCCGAGATCGGGGCAGTGAAGCTGCCACGGGGGATGCCGAACCGGGCCGGGCCGTGCCGAACCGGGCCGTGCCGAGCCGGGCCGGGCCGTGCCGCCCCCATCCGGCTTCCAGTGTGTCCCCATAAAGCGCTCAGCGTGTCCCCCGCAGAGAGCGCTCACACCCCCGGCACAGAACCCTCCCCTCCGGCTATTTCCGTAACACCTCCCCCTCCCTCCCTCCCTCCCTCCCTCCCTCCCTCCATCCTTCATGGATTTTTGGGGTTTTGCCTATTTGTTACTCTGAATGCAACAAAAACACCGTGTCTCAAAATGCATTATTGGCATTCTCTTAGTCTTTCATATCTGACCTTCTCA